TTATAGCGTCAAGCGCGACCGCAGTATGTATACAACTATTTGAATTCACGGGATATCATTTGGGCACAGATAAAATTGAACACTCGTTCTTCAGAAGTGATAAACGCTTAGCGCAATGTGTAATCTCAGTCTGCTTAAACATGCCTGATAAGTCTCGAAAAGTGCAGCCAGGCGGTTTCTTTCGCCTTTACCGGGAACCTATCAAGTACTCTTAAGTCTTTCGTTAAAAACACTCCTAGCAAAATGGCTGCTGAACTCACATATGTAACCACTTCTAGGCGTGAGCATTCTCTCAGTTATTTTTCGCAGAGCATTTTCGGCGACATTTGCGATCTGAGCATGCAAATTCCCTTTGTTTTTAACCAGACTGTCCAGAGAATCTCGCTGTGTATATCATCTACAACGCAGCCGGGTGGGCCAAATACTGGACAAAACTAGCTGCCTTACACCGTCCTTTCCTGACGGGAAGTTCAATTGTAAAGGATTAGCTTGTGTTTCAAGTTAGTCCTTTTTAATCTAGATAATGTTGCTCTAAGGCCCAGGGGGTCCTCATCCTACTCATGTCTTTTCGGAACATGACGGTTTTTTTTGTTTTTCGTCACGATGCTATTGCTGCCGATAGCAGCGGTTCATCGAGATGTCGCAATACGGCCATCAAAGCAATTAGAGCCCTCCTCACTTGATTGAGATGAAATAATAATAGGTCAGTCTGCATTTGAGGCACCAGTCAACCTCCTTACTATTTTCTGGTTTCGCGATGGAGGGTTTGAGACTATACATCTCATTACATTGGTTTATTACTATGTTTACCATATAGATGACCATGAGACGATAACCTTTCCGCTAGTGCACAGGTTTGCGATCAATATAATGAATTCTGGACAACTTATCCCGGCTGTGGCAAAAAATCAAACGAAGTTAAATGCCAAATAAAGCGACAAGGCCATGTGTTCGATAAAAACATAGTGCCCACACGATCTGCCGGCGCGTCAAATATATCCGTGTCTGGTAAGCGGACTCCCAAAATAAGCCTCGTTTCAGATCCGTGTTCATCCTAGGTGAACGTGATACATATCGATTTTGCCTATTTGAAGCTACGAGTTTTAAATTCCTCACTCAAATTTGAACCCTGTGTAATTAGAATCGTTTTGCATTTGGACGACGAATTTTTTCCGCAATCATGTCTTACCTGATCCGAGAAATTCCAATCCGCTGTAATTATACTTATCAGAGCTTGATCTTTTTATTTTCGCCGACCCATCAAATCTATCTGCTAGTTTGACGTAGCAATTTTGTGGTCTACTCGAACCCAACCTGATTGGATACTGTGGTCTAAACTTTTCAGTCACAAGTGGCATCACAAGGCAGACTGCATCACAGTAGAAATTGCTTATTACGTCTGTTAAACTTTTGAATGTTGGTTGGATGGTGGTCACATCTGCTGCGTTGTCCAGACAAGGAAGATTGCGTTATCATAAATAACTTGTGGAAAATATTGCAAGCTTTTTTACATGTTCGCCTCAAAATCCCTTCATAGTTTTGGTTCCCTTTCCCGACCAGAGGAACTAGTTTCTTTATATGGAGGTTTGACCCGTAGTTTGGCGTAAATAAACACTTGCTTGCAAATTGAACTCGAGTCTCAAAGCCGTTGTCCCGAATTCCCGTATGAGCTGCACACTCAGGGGGTTGCACGTAGAGTAGTTTCGCCGTTCGCCGAACTGTAGCCAATTTTTCGATACCATTTATTCGCTACGTTGATCAGTACCTCTTGCAGTAGACGAATCAGCGGTGGGGTTGTTCTCAGCTCTTCGTGCATGATGTGGTTTCACTAGGGTATTCCGTTTCACTGTCTATACCGAATAGTTTGGTGCTCAGTTTTCCGTTGAACAACCGGACTAAACTGGGAGAAGAAGTAAGCTAATGAGGAGCTGTTCTATCACCTTTTGAATTTGAGGGGAACGGTCCGTCAGAAGGTTTTAGAGCTAGTCAATCCAGTGTAGTTTGGGCGTCAGAATGGCAAAAGAAAACATTTGCGCAGATTGCTCAATAGGTCGAACATATTGAGTCTGGTCCAATGGCCAGGTGAGTCCGGCCTGCCTTCGGTAGGTTGTGATTTCCCTAGATTATACAAAAGATATCACGCTGTGCTGTTCATATTCCTTTGCGAGGCTGTCGTAAATAGAGACATTGCTAGCCACAGTTTTTCTCCTCTTAGACCACTTAAAGGGACCGAGTGAACCAGGCGGGGATACCCTTTGGTATGAATGTTGAAATTAATCCATCAGACCAACCAAAAATGACCCATTTTGAGGACCGAATCCTGCGGAGGACTAAAGCCGGCCACGTTCTGTCCGAGGTCACCTGCCACGTGAATCTGGATTTGCCTGTCACAGTGAACTGCACGCATGGACAGTCACACACATGAAGTTTTGCCACATGGTTTTTCACTGAACCGTGTGTGCAACCAGCTTAACATCCTCTCTCCGGTGTGAACGCGAGGAACTAAGACCGAATGGTGAACAGTTGTGTTCAGTAGCAAAGCCATCTGTGCGCCAAGATCACGGTCCGCAACTGTCAAATCGTTAGGTGCGACTAAACAGTATGCAAAAAGTAATTCAGTGAACATACTCGCGTCGCTAGTGAAAGCTAATAATCGGCTTGGTCACAGAGTGTCACATATAGCGTCCGTGTGTGCCTAGCACTCTGGAATGTCTAAACTGCAAAGACGGACCATTTTCTTATCTGTGCATAAAGTGTGCATAAAATACAATGCACTAAAGAAAAAGTTTAATACGGCGCAGTCCAGTACAATTCAGTATAGTGCGACACACTGGTAGTACAACATAGGTATAATATAATTCGAACTAAAAACGAATTCACATTCAGTCCAAACCAGAGGCTTGTTGAGCTGAACCACCCAAAGCTGTTCTTGATTTGATTTGGAAAACATATGGTCGGTGTTACTTCAGCGAAGTCTTTCTGTTTGATACTTTTCTCCCAATTCGACAACAATCTCCCTTTAGTGATCTCAACCAAGGGGATATGTTTTGTGAACCCTTGTCGTGAGTCATAGATGTGGAGAGAATATAGTAAGCGGCGTATATACTGAATGTCGTGCACTTAACAGTAAACATCTGAATGTATTTTTGTTGCCTGTTAACGTCTGCGTCAACTATACCGCCACCATGCTCATAAAATGTTGTCTATGTAAGCTTCGGAATTAAACACATTAAAGAAACTATTTGGCGGGTTGTCCAAGTGTGAATTTAGCTGCCTACAACTGTCATCTTCCAACTGCAGAACACTGCTATTGGTAAAGTTCACAGCGGGCCCTCGAGGTTTCGTGGGCCAGATTACATCTTTGAGGAATGTGCTTGGATTTGTAGAGGTTCGCTGCTGAATAGCTTGGGATAACGCCGAATTGTATGGGGGAGCGCAATGATATACGGATCCGTAACTAAGATTACGCTGATCTATTCAACAAACTACCAGATAAACTAATAAGTTATCACTGGGGTTCATTGTGTTTAGGACAACATGCAGTAATTTGATTTGATCGATTTTGTCCAAGTTTATTTGACTCCACAGTGTCCGGTGTATAGTTGATATAAAGGTATTTGGTAACTTCCCCATTTCAACCACCCCAAATTATCATATGGGATTCACACAAATTTTTCTGTTCGTCTGTACGATGGCGGGAAGTGAATACTATTCATGTCAGTTATTCGCAGCAATTACTTGCAAGACCTGCTGGTTGGACACTGTGAACGATCCCTAGTGAATTTTTTCATAAGGGTTGATGCAGCGGTCTTCAGGTTTATTCTGACTGAAGGACTGGAAATACTTACGCTCAAATCTAATAACTAATAGATGTAAGTGACTGTGGACATAGAATATTTTGGAATATATTGCAGTGCACCTTACAGATGCATAATGTTAGACGAGCCACGTTGCGTGTATGTTCTGTACTGCATGGTGCATGGTCGCAGACAAGATAACGAGATGCACAACCACCGTTGTCGGTGCCGTGATTCATCGCCCTAACACCTTTTCAGGTGTCCATGCAACCGCGGAAACAGATGCGTGTACCGAATTAGGCCACGTACCTTCGGTTCGACATCCATGAAGCGAAAATGGCATTTGCAGAACACATATTGATTAGACAATATAATTGAATAGGCTGGTGAAAGATAGGCTGATACATGGGTTGCGTGAGTGTGTATAACTCCATTAAACCAAATTCCGGTACATATAGACCTGTTCAGTCGAATCAGAGATGTCAGTATTTTAGTAAGCTGATAGACAGTAACGAAAAGGTGATTTGGTTTATCACTTATGTCTATTTTATGGTGTAAGTTCAGTTCTTTTGTATGTTGCTTATATGTAACTGCATCTAGTATGCTGAAAACGCTCACCTTTCCCCACGCGAATGCCACAGGGAGTTGTTAACCGCTGCATCAGACTTTCGGATTGACTGAACAGGTTCGGCCGGGTCTGGAACAATTCTTGTCCCCCATTTGTGTGGATTAGATATTGTCTTTGTTACGCGTAGATCGCTTCAATTTGACATTTCCACAATCAATGTAGGTTAGTCTAAGGTTTATTTATGTCCTCGATTTAAAACTACCTTAGCCTTTACCAGATCCGTGTGGCTTTGGGATGTCCCACATATTCTTCTCACTGGTACACGAAGGTTTTAAATTCAACGCAAGCTGGGTCGACACTGGATGCCAGAATCCCATACCGCTGTAATGTTTCGCAGTAATTTCCTTCTACTCAAACTGTGTGCAAGAGGGGCGGCGCCTGATAAAGTATGGTGTTGCAAACGTATTTTCCCAAAAGTCTTCACTAAATAACTCGTAGATTTAAGATCGCGTTCGGGAACCGATTAGAGTTTTCTTGTCCCAAAGTTATCCGCTATCGTTTTTCAGCTTGAAAGTTAAATCATTCTTTCCATAGTGTGTGATTACACTGTTTTGTTGTATTTGTCCTGTTCGAAGTACCCTGAACTACGCCGATGTGGCTTCCGTTAACGAGCGCACCGAACGCATCGTGAACGAGTGGGACAGGCTTGGCCAGCTGTCACAAGCACGGAGACAAGGAATCCATGTAAGTCTTTTGCGCTCGTTTGGCGTGCACTTTCTCAGTTGCACATACGCGCACACATCCGTGACTAGCACTCATTTAAGGAAGAAAAGCATGCACTTTAACGTATGACTACTCGATCGAGCTAATTGCTTTTTACCGTGCCAGTTGTATATGTGCCTCATCTGACAGTCGGCTGTTATCAGCCACGTTGATAATCTACTTAAGTTCTTCGCGAATTGCATTACGGAGCAACGCTAATTTCCGGCTGTGCAGTTTTAGCATCTTGTAGCTGTAACCTGTTGTCAGTTTGCTCGTGAGTGTCTTAGGATTCCACATCTTCCTCATTCGAACGGTCCTTTTGTCATGATTTGATAATTCTGGTTGCTCTATACCGAGGGGGTATAACTGGAATAGAATTGTGATTATATTAGTTCACATCGATAGCTCGTGCCCTTCATCCTACTGGGATTCAAACTCAATTTCAGCGTGATCTGGTTGAAAATTGGCAACACGTTTGCTTCGGATGTCAGGCGACTGGAATAAAAACTTCGATATGGCTGAGGCTACGCAATACCAATAAGTTTTAATAAAAGTGGAGCCCAATCCTGATTGTTCTGTCCTCTGGTGCGGACGAACCAGAATAATAACAACAGGTTCCAATGAAAGTGACTGTTTACGTTGTGTAATCGGCCGATTGTGCAGTAATTTCAGTTCCAATTTCATCTTCATATGTATTGGGTAGTTTGGTCCAATCTTTTGATCTTATCCACTTTCCATTGAGAGCAAACTCTAACAAACCCTGTTTTTGAAGATGACCGGTGTCTATCACTGTAGACAATGAGGAAAATCTTTCTCTCCCGGAGAAAGTAATAGGGAAACGTGTTCAACGGAACTGGCACTGTGTTAGTGGCTTTTACTGGCTGGAAAATAACTAATAAGCGACCGGAAAAAGTAGAAACGTGACGAAGGTTGCAGAGAGGTATTTTAAGCTGATGAACTACTCGCAAGTTACCAAAAAACAAATGACTCCACAATTTAAATGTACTATAAATTCTTGATAATTTATTCCCAGTAGCTTAGTCCCGTGAATATCTCTTATGGTCTCCTAATAGTTCTTGGTTAAACCCCCCAGTGAGGTGTTCACACCCTTTCGAGGATACTCAATCGAAACGTTAAAGCGACATTTCAGCAGGGCTGGACGCTCATCGTTGTACACTTCTACATGCCTCCAAAGCATGATAGTACAGAGGACTAAGTTGGATAGTCAAGAGAACAGTGTTTCTCAAAGTCGATCTGTATAGACTAGTCACTAGTCCTGTGGGAGCCTATTGAGTTGTGAACCCAGGATCTTGAACTCTCGCTCATGTAGACTAGATATCCTTGGTTGTATTACGTCCATTGTAGTTGATTTTTATTGTTTCTTTCACATGGAGCGAACTACCACGTGAGGTAGACAGCCCTCGAAAGCTAAGTATCATTGATCTTTCACATCCGTCAACAACTGGTTGAAGACTTTGTGACTTGGCCACCGGTCCACTCATCCAGACTGTTTTTTTATATCGCACACTTCACCGTTGCCTCAAAGTTGTTCATATTTATCGTCCTAAGCGGGCTTACGAACACTCGTAAGGAGCCGAGTTGTGAAAACCACGCAAGGTTACGACCGGGTTGTAGATGGATCGACTACGCCTTTACCTTACGACCTATAGCGAGGTGGTTAGACATAGTTTCCAGTCAACCGTTCATGAAGATAATAATTTCTGTCAGCTAATCACCAAGAACCCGAATATTTACCATTAAATTTACAGCCATCATGATCCAGAGCTGTTGTGCTATTGATCGCATAGTTCACACATCCCATTCCCCAAAAATAACAGCCCTACTTGCTTTCCCTTTCGCTTTCTAGAAAATACTGGATGTCCTAAATCAAATCGATCGGCTACATTTGTCATTCGCCAAACGGGTCGCGGTAAGGTTTTTTGTTTTCCCTCGATCGGCTACATTTGTCATTCGCCAAACGGGTCGCGGTAAGGTTTTTTTTGTCTCCACTTTAACCGGCTGCCATCTGTTGTCTTGGAATGTGTCCCAATCCAACGGCACTTCCGGGCGAGCTTTGGCATTGGTTGCTAATAATAACCGAGAATCGGTGGCTGTTGTTCTCTGAGCTTTGCTATTCTGGAAAGTTCACCAGGACTGTCACTGAACTGTTTGCGCTTTTATTTAGTTTAATTTAGTTTCATTCCAGCTGATCCGCGACAAAATATTTCATCCGTTTTATATATCCTCACCACAGCCCTTCAATACGTGGCTTGAACAGGCCCAAGAAGATCTTCAAGACATGTTTATCGTCAATAAAGTGGAAGATATCATGGTATGTATTGTTCCCTATGCGGATGTTGGTTTCTAAAAATTATGGTGGTGTCGCCCGTAGCAAGAGACACTGTGACGGCTTCCGGACAGAACTTCATTTGATCGATTTGTTTGATTATTGATATCCTTAACCCGATTTAATTTATTCCGATGTCTTCTCCTGCCTTTTGATGGTATGATGTCTCATTTCCTCAGCACATCTTCAGCATCTTCTGATGTTTGTTTTTGACAATGTCATCCTGAGATTGTGTTCAACGACTAATTTGCAGTTTCACTCTCCTTCAAAACCTCCTTCTATTTGCCTTAATTTGACATGAGCTATCGAACTGCGACGTACGTATACTTAAAATTAGTTTCGCAGTTGCACCGTAGTCCATTGAGGTATAGTGTGAACGAAAGGATCTGCCTGTAGGTGAATTCTGACTATCGACCATCCATATCTGGACTGCATGTATGCACTTGAACCCAGGTGTCATTCGCTGCCTTCCTAGTGGACCTTTTCCCAGTAGATCAAACGTTTTTATCGTCCAAATATCCAAAGGATTGGTGTAAACTGATAAGAAACTTGAAGGGTTTTGCTAAAAATCGGTAAAGCTTTAGCTCCCACGTGGGTTGCGCATTGGTCCGGTGAGTCCTAATCAATATTTTGTGTCTACCTCCCACCCTTTAATAATATTTTTTTTCGCTTACCATCACTTCATTATTTGCCGAATATCACGTCGATTTGCGACTGGGAATGTATTTTAGCTCAATATTTCGGTTTGTTTTGTAGGAAATGTTTGTCATATTGTTTGAAAACGGGTTAAATTGGGTCACTTTCCTTAAATTCCGAGCGCGTTGCACTTATGTGTTTGAGTTTGTGCACTCCAGTTATGTTCGGACCATACGTCGACAGTCGCTAGAAATAGAATAGGTTAAACAGTTGGTTGGCATTTGCCATTCATCTATAGGTCAAGGTAAGCTGTGATTAAACTAGGGAAATATTTCTACTAAGGCACCGCACTTCATAAATCGATACTGTAGATTGCTCAGTTTCCCGAGACTGTTTTGTTCCTGATGTGTCCTCTTCTTCCCCTTGTCAAAAAGGCACTTGTGAACGGACACGAGAATTTCAAGCAAACTTTGCCGGCGGCTGAAAAAGAGATGCACGAAATGTTGGCCGAAGCCAGACAAGTACAACAGATTGTGGAACAACATAACCTTCCGTCAAGTTTCATAATAAACCCATACACCATGATCGAGTTCGAGGTGAGAACGTTGAGATTATTACCGTTGGTGTTTTCGAATACATGACGATAAAGTTTCTCAATTTATCCTGACTAAGATCCAGTAGTATTGGTTGAAAAACGTGATTTCAAATAGCTGATTTTGTGTTACCATGTAATACCAGTTGTGAATAAGGATCACCTCTTGTAAAACACCTTTTACTGAAATCGGCGGTGTTCCGTTCAGCCCTAGGCCGGGATCGCTTGAATCCACGATCACAGTTGTTTTTATTCACTGTTACTTGAATAAAGAATGAGTAAAAGTCCGACGCACCAAACAGACTGTTCAGAATTCTGCCTGTTCATTCGCGTCCAATCAAACGGGATTTTATTTTTATGCAAATCCCCTACTTTATTAATATTTTTATCTTTCAGATATCTAGTCTCCCAAATTGTAATCTCATTAGAGTTTGTTTACCAGCTGAATCCCCTGGTAGTTTTGTTTATGTTTTACACAAAATAGCCCATTGGGTTTGTCTTAAAAACACGTCAACTGTGGGACTCTGAGATATTAAACATCAGCTGTCAACAGTGAAGTTTTAACAACAGCCCTCACTTTGATTTTGGGCCAGACAGCAGATTAACTGAGGAATCCAGGCGCCCACTCTTGGCCGTACAAATTAGTTTCCCACTGCAATCCAACAGGTATTCTGTACATTTCGCATATTCACACGTTGTTTCCTACCTCAAGGTTGTGTAAATATTGCGGCAACAGTAGTAATTCACTTATGTTGTTAGTCTTAGTGAAATCAATCAGTTATTATCACTGGAATCGATATAATCAGTGTCTGGAAAGTGGGTCCAGATATCTCCATTGGATGAGTGAGGAAAAAGCAGTTCAAACAACGCGTAATTCGGAATTGCATCCCCCCCTGGAGCCGTGCCATCGAACCGCTCGTATCCTATAGAATTTTAAGTTGGTCCCGTTTGTCTTTATTCATATTAGGAGCACGGCTTCCTGAAGAAGCAACGACCAACACCACGCTGTTCTTCGCAAGCCTTACCACCTCGTAGTGAAAGCGAAATTAAATTCCATTTAACAGCGTCCTAGACGTGTAAATTTCCACATTTGACCCTTCGACGAACAAAACCCAATAAACTATCATCCTTCCAAAGCTCGTAAGACACTAAACGAATAGGCTGCCATCCATATTGAAAAGCTGTCTGATTGGACACCATTCCACCTTAATCCATCACTGATGTCATTATTATCGAACCCCTGCTGCTGTTTTCCGTAAGCATTTCGGACACAGTCGAATTGCGTTTATGTTGCCCATTTATGGCCTCACACACCTTGAGGTCATGTCAACTAGTGTTGCTTATCTGACAGACAACCCTCTATATTTGATGGAATGCCAGAGCGCAAATTTTAACACCTAAGCCAGACGGACCAGGTCTGTCCAAAGTGCTGTGATCCCAAAAATTCCCGTTTACCACTAAACCTTTTTGTTAGCGCGTTCGTTAAGGTAGAATAATATTTTTGTACCTGCCTCTCCATTTGTATGAAACAGACTAGTTGCTGTTCGCATGAATGTATTGTGTATATACCCTACAATTTCGTTTCTTTTCAGTCTTTTTTCCAGACGTTATTCAGTTATGACCCGCTTAAACTGTGTACATTCTTCTTTTTTCACTCCCACAGTTTGAAATTCTCCTTTTTGGTTTCTTAATTATTTAGAGAGGAAAAACAGCCTTAGATGCAAACTTTTTTCCGTGAAATAGCAGAAACCGTTCCATGCTCTGATGTTCCCTTATGTCAGACGTCTTGTAAGGATTCTTACCTTATAGATTTGGCTACGCCTGAATCCAAGTCAGGTTTATTAAATCCCGTTTCACCCGAAATTCAATTTCAGTATAACTCCTGTTGTTTGCTTTCATGTCCACACACTGCAAGAATGACGGCCTGTGATGGTCATTAAGTAAAGATTTCCATCTTCCCTTTACACCTCAAGTATAAATAGGTTCTGCGCAATGTTGTATATATTTAATGGGAGGGTTCAGAGATTCTTAATCTTCAAATCACCGGATTATCCCATCAAAAGAGACATACTTTGGTCTAAGAATCGCTGACTCCTACTTCTCTTTAGGATAATATAAAGCAAGGACGCGGAGAGGGCATTTCTCAAGCTGATTTACCCGAGTTCCACTTGCGCTTCACATGATAAGTCCATCGGAATTGACATACCTGAGACTGTAGCATCAAAAACAATCAAAGAACGGGTCAGGTGAATTCAGTATATTGTAAAATGCATTTTGAAACAGTTTACATACCTGTTCGAATGCGATTGGTCGGCCGCTTTTAGTTGAAAAATGAAGATGAACAATTAAGCCCAAGAAGTTTCAAATCTCATAGCGTAGAATGCCGACCGAAAGTTCTGTCGTTTGGACCTGCGACAATGGACTTGAGTGATCTGACTTTATCCGTGTCTGCATGACTCCTACACGCTGCACGGTTGCCACGCGCCGACTAGGTGTCACAACCAAATCACTTGATTTGTTTTTTCACTATATCGAAAGACCTGACCGTTCCTGTTGATAGACTATGGAGGGCTGAGCGATGGTCTATAGGCGAATTTCGATCATACCTCCTAAGATCTCAACAAAATGATGGCATTTTATGGACTCAAAACTTCCAACAGATAAACAAAAACTGGTCTTCGGATAGTCGGGAGTCGGTCTATGTGCTTATAGGTCCGTGAGCAATCGTCAAGGTTTTGAATATTGGATAAATTATGTCTGTCAAGATAGGAATACCCAAATAAACCCTAAATTACATCGCAATCTATAAGATTGCTTGAAACAAGCAAGTAAGATTTGTTTCTGGGAGGTTGTCCCTTTTTCACGCAGACTCATCAAAGCAGGATCATGGTAACCAATCAGAAGTGGCATTTTCGGATGAGTCATCTCTCCAAGGCACGCAGTGATGTATCATTTTATGTGGATTGCGTGTGCTCGGCGCTCAGTATTCGCACAATGGAAATGAATTTTCGAAAGCTATTACGTGTACCGGATGAACTAAAGCACACAGGTGGTCGAGTTTTAAATACCAGTCCAAACTTTTGCGCCCCATCTAGGTATCTCGGGGCCCAAGTGATGCTAGGAAAGTATTTCACCAGAATTTTACCGTCAGAGGTATGATTGCTGCAGTGGACAATGAATTTTGGTGATCTGCGAAAATGTGAACGTAGATTAGACTGATTTTTGGTTTGAGCACAAATGCAACAAAATTCAACCTTTTGGCGCAAAAAGTTTAATTCCATTCGCAGAGATTTTGTAGCCAGGAGCGTTGTGCGGCCAAGGAGCCGTTCATGTGCTCTTGATAAATATTTGATCCATTCTTCGATCTTCCTATGTCCAATTCTTTTTAAAACATTGGAAACGAGCAATTTCGTCAGTTCCTGATTTGCGTCATCTGTTTGTATCATTCCGATACAGACAGACCCTTCAATAACGGACATCCATCTCGGGAATCGAAATACTCCCACTTGCGGTGTTTTTTCAGCGGCATACGGAAATATTCAATATCAGTCGATGTCGATGACACCAGAGTGTGATGAAGTGGACCAGTTAAGACCTTGTTTTCACGTTTTTCCCCTAAAATACAATACTTCGCCAACAAGTCAGCAGCCTTGACTCATTTACCGGTATGTTCATAAGAGGAAATGGAGGACGGAGGCTGCTGCTATGCCTTGGAAAGTCTCTCGCTAGATTGTTTAAGGTCCCAGATTCTTACTGGAATTTCGGTGATGCGTCCGCTACTGGGGGTGCTGCTCATGGTTCAATAAATTAATTAAAACAGACTGGGTTATGTCTCTCGTTCTGTCCACCCAGTTCGCCAAACCTTTTTTACCCTCTGTATTCAGTCCTCCATCCAAGACACGTGGTACCGCGGTGTGCACCTTGCTTGAGGGATGACAAAACAATACGTGTCTGATAGTTCAAGTGCCTAAATTGGCTGAGGTTGTGTAGTTTGCATGCGGACAGTTTTGAAACCTTTGTTTTCATCCCATTTTCTAAAAACTAGTGAATTTGGGGCCTATTACTTTCAGTTTTTTCTTGGCGCGTAGTTTCTCCACAAGCTTTGACACACACTGTGCACCTCTTTGTTCTCTGTTCAGAGTTCCTATCTCATAAGTTCAATTAAGACTTAAAACAGGAAAGATGCATTGTGCTATGTGGTTGCCAACCATACCTTCAAATTTCAATCATCCACACACCGTAAAACTTCTAATAAGCGCCCCTACCAAAGCGTTATCACATTTTCAGGAGTGAGTAAGGGCGTTTCATGTCAGGGAGGACGTGGCGTCAAAATCCGCAGGAGGAACCATCCCTTAGAGAAGCTCAGTGATTCTTTAAAAGAACCCATCGCGGAAAAATGCTGCGTTTTCCTCCCTTTTGGTGTTCTATGTTTGGGGGATTGGATAAAATTTACGGCAAATTGGAAACGCCGTAATGAAAATGAATTCTGTGGGGAGGTAGCCTCCATTCCGAGATCCTTGCAGTTCATAATCTACTTTTGGGATATCACATTGATACCACGGAATCGTTTCGTTAGTATTGCAATCAAGAAGCTCGTAACTGGGTTGTAAATATTCGTGCAGGTGAGGACAGATAGCGCTATTTTAGCTCATGTGTCAACTGGTCATTATGAATGGGTTACTTTCAACTGAACTGTATTTTCCTTGATGGGCGCTTCGACCCCGTCATTAAATACCCTCTCTTCTTTATAACTTATTGACTGGTGCTGAATCCAAGTTCATTACCTATTGGAATTGGACGTCTACAATAAGGTAGTGCGATAGACGCATGCGCAGATACTTCTCTGGCATCATTCTTCGGTGAGGTGTTCCTTTTCGCGCACACAGATATGGTGGGCGGACCCGAATGACTGGCCCCACAAGTCGGTAGAAAAAAAGGCGCTTTTTTTCAGTCGCCTATGTGATTAATGAACAGACTCACAAACTAACTAATGATTTTGACTACTAAGATAAGGTCAAACCACTTTGCTCTAGGTAGTGGAATGCAAAATTTGTGTCCATTCTATGTATAACGTCCAGAAAGACTGAATATTCTGTCATGTGGTTAAAACGAATAAGCAATAGCGAATCTGAGCAAACTGCTCCAGGTCTTCCAACGTGTGGTGCTTAACCACTGGTTCGTCACGCCTCCAAAATTAAGAGAAAAATGCTGTAGTTCCGCTTGCTTGTCCAATGTTAGTCCAAAAACCAACTGGAATATCCACCTGAACTCTCAGTCATCCACTGGCTAAGATACTCTTCTTAGTAATGACAGACTTACAGAAAAATGATTTCCGTGTGTTACCATTGGGTTTCAGACCCTAGAATCCCGATGGGAAGCGATGCGAAGCCTGGTCGGTGCCAGAGACCGTGAGTTGCAAGCAGAGGTTGCACGTCAAGAAGAACACGAGCAATTACGACGACAATTCGCTCAGTTGGCCAACCGAGCTGGTCCTTTTTTGGAGCGTACTTTGGACGCGGTTCATGCCGTGCTCACTTCGACCAATGTTGCGCTTGAGCAACAGCTGAGGCAGTTGCAGAAATATGATGAAGATTTGGAGGCGTGGAAACCAAATATGACCGAACTTGAACGTTGTATGCAGGTAATTTGTTAGTTGGATTGTGACATCTATCGATTCGGACTGCAAGCTGGTAAGAGTGGACACCATTCAAATATGTTATTTTGTCATAATTCAGCACGTGGTCTTCAGCATTCTAAGTCTTCTTGATTGTCTCTCAGACAGCTGATCGGTTCAACTACACTGACCTGAGTTTTGACACAATTGTTACCCGTGATTATCCATTTTAGTCCACTTTTGAGGGGGATGGTTGCCTTCAACTTACAATTTTTTGTCGTAAATGATATCAGTGGAATTAATGCCCAAGAACATTGGATGCACTTAATCCACTGCGCCAATCCGCTACTAGCGTATCAAGGCGAATTTCAAGCTCAGAGTTGGTACAAAAGACGTACAAACTGAATAAACCCTGTCTTACCCTTCGAAACTATTACTACCGTTATTCAAGGAATCTCCCACGTAACCCAGATTTACAACTCATTCCTCTATTATCCATTTGTGGCACCGTACTTAGTCGTTCACGTGAACAGTCTACAACCTAGATGGATAATTTTTATTCGCTGTGTAAAATATTGATAATAATGTAGTTAATAATAGCAGTGCACACTCTGCCTTCGGTTGACAGGCTTACCGACCCGGTGTACACCATGAACCGACGTAGCGAAGCAAAGGTTGAGTTACATAATAAATTACTATTTCGTAGATATTTTAGCTAGACATTTGGTTGATCTCGTCTACCGAGAACTCGATGCGGTTCACTCATCCTCAAGGTCGAATCAAACAAGTGCGTCCTGAGCTGGATAAGTACAATCCATCCTGTCGGATCTTTTACAAATTGTTATCGCTGTCCATCAAACAGTGGGATACATAAACACCAGTATGCAGTGTTGTTATCCACTTATACGGTACAAATACTTCTAATAGCAGAATCAATAATAGGTCCTGTTTGTTTTCCGGGTGCTGACCTCAGTACGGGTTTTCATTTTTTCAAATCATGAAGTGTCAATACAACAGTCTTGTGGCGTTCAGGAGGATTTTTACTCTTTTTTTGTCTGGTTACTATGATCGAGCTGAAATTACCATACAGCACTGTTTTGAGTGTTTCTCCGAATTACTTTTGGTGGGGGTGAAAGTCTCTGATGTTCATTCTATTTCTTCCCCTTGCTTGTCCTCGCCCTACCACCACAAGCTTGTTCAAGAGGCACGTATAACGTATAACCCGCACACCCGTTACACTATGGATACGCTCCGCATTGGCTGGGAACAATTACGAACCAATTTGAAGCGAGCACAGAACGAAATTGAGAACCAAATCTTGGCTCGTGACTCGCGGGGTGTTTCCGAGAAACAAATTGATGAATGCCGGCGTTGTTTCAATCACTTTGACCGGCAGAGAACACGGAGGTTAGAGCCATTGGATTTCCGCGCTTGTCTGCTTTCGTTGGGATACAACATACCGAATAATGCACAAGTAAGTGAATTTGGTCATCTCTGAAGCGATCCTCTGGAGATGATGCTACCTTTTTCGCTCGTTCGGAATGTTTGGGACAGTGGTTTTTATTTCAAACGTCTGAACTCTGCCTTTGACAGCTCTTAAGTTGCGAACGGATGTGTTATTGCTTATGGCCCGTTAAGATTTGACGCCTGACAGTCGGCTGTACCTCTGTGACGGATATGCTACCAAACACCTGCTGATGTGACTATTCCTCATTACTGCGTGGAAATGGGAAACCTAGCGAACAGATTCTGGGCTCAGTTTTTCTTCTGTGTCAATGTTTCAAGTGGAACATTTCGTTTCGAGCAAAAAAACGGCGGAACCTGTCGATACTGAGGTTCATCAAGAAGCTGATCTCTTGGAACCGTTTACGCTTGATGGCTATCGACTGTCTGTGATCCACAATAAGGATTTTCATCATAGGTTATCTTTTCAACCCGATCATGGAAGGTGCATTTTTCAATTCATTGCAAGGTTAGCTGGACCATCCGGAAATGCCATAGTCAATCTGTTTTTACAACCGATGTTATATGGTCTTGCCCCTTTCACCATAAACTTGAGTCCGGAACTTCCGCATTTCAAAACCTTTTATCAATAAAAAGATTATACGGTGACGAAACACTTGCAGTCAATCGCCAAGCTCGAGGAACATATCCACTACCACCTGATCGACAGCCAATCAACTCATCACCTATATTTTGACAAATTGCCTGATGATCTGGTCGACCTCACTTAATCTGGCACAGGCGTTTGCAATTGGTCGCGTTCCCGGTATTATTCACACCTTTATTCAATCGATTTTTTCAATATTTCATGACCTATAGTTACATGGCCATTGGGACTAATGCCCTACTTGAATGCAGTAAAAATGTTGTTGCTCTTCAGTTTTCCCTTCTGCGTTCACTCTCGTGTTTCCACTGTTTTTTTGTTGCTGTGTCTGGTGGCGCCTGTGCACAGATGCACCCAACTTACACTCATGGACAGCGCTAAACTAAATCAAGTGAGAGGCAATAAAAAGCTTATCTACTACAGCATGGAGAAAATGAGGTCAATCTGTTTGATGATCAATCGGGGGCAATCGGTAACCAATTACCTTTGAAGACATGCTTTTTCCTGTATAGGGAATAAAAAGTACGTCGAATCACACGTGCTTGTTCTGTGTGCTTGGGTGCATGCAAGCACGCTTTCTGATGGGTGAAAATGACTGGGGCATGACGACACCACAGCTGTACTGGGCGATTGACAGGTATGCTAGTTTCAGAGGAGAAACACGTTCGAGTTTAAGTGGGAGTTAATAAGAGTTATCTGGAAGACTACCAAAGTGGATATTTTCGTGTGAAACTTGTCGGGATGTGCTGACACTAGGTGCAGCTGCTTTTTTCGTCTTTCCAGGGTTTGGAATGTGTGGGAGTGACGTGTCCTATGTGGGTGAATGTGATGGACAGTCTAGAAGCGGACGTGTGTGGAGGCGGCGTATGGTGGATACCCACCAATCAGGTCTTCACGTTTACGAATAGCGTTTCTAGAGCGTGTTGTGAAATCCTATTAGATTACCTTTGCAATTGCCCAGCAAGGTATTCACTTATGGACTTCACAAACGTCGAGCTAGGATGCGACGCCCTACATCTATTCACGCATTCCTGGTTTTCTGATTGACTTAATTTATCAAATATTATCACTATTGTTTATTCCTAACTTTCATACTTCGTGGATCAATCGGACCACCACTTTATTGGTATTGAGATTTCGTCCAACAAGGGAGGCAAATCTGTACTGCTCAACTGTTTTATCCTTACTGGGAATCATCAGCTATGTGCATTTCACAAAACTCAAAGAGTTTCGAACCCGCTACCTTCCGGCCAGTGTTTGAGCACTTGACCGTTCGACTACGGGTTGCTGAACAACAGTCTGGTTAGCTCTCAGTTCGTAATACCTAACACATCAGTATACTGAATCACATAGGGTTGGACTGACACGGTCTTTCCTAACTCGTGACTTCAAATGGAGGACGATACTTCTAGCGGTCAGTGCACAACCTATGGTATAGTAACGTTTTTGCATATGGTCTTACCTGAGCGCTCACACTTGTATCGTTATATTCTCTGAACACCAACTTCCTTATAGAATTGGTGTGCTCTCATACTTCTTATCACCACTTATCTTATCATCACTTCTATGAACTGCAAGGATTTACGTATATTCAAGTTATCTTTTTGGCACATATTAAAGGGGGGGCTTTGGCCTTTTACCATTGTCCTATCAAAAGAACTAGGACACCATGAATGTATATCTAGAATGGACTGAGGACAGCTTTGAACCACCTTATCTATTGCTGAGGAGACCCAATGATACCAGAAGAACAGATATAATTCAGATGTGGGTAGTAGACTGTCTTTGGCACTTGTGTCTTGGCACTTTAATACTTTTACTTAATTTTATGGATGGTTTCCTGCATTAGTTGTGGTTTGGTTTCTATACTATATACGGTTACAGCAGCTAGTTCGTCATATCCCGCTTGTGGCGTTCGAGCCCAAATGCCTCATCCTTCCTCGATATTTTCCGTAATAAGCTTTTCTGTTTCCCTCGTGGTGACCGCTGAAAACTTTTGCATCCTGAGCGACCCAGAAACCATAGCGACGTTTAAACCCTCCTTTCAAGCCAGGGGTAATTCAAAACCCTGTTCATTAAAGTGAACTCTGAAGTCGCATGTGAAACGAAGATCATTTGTCTTATGGTTAAATAGGAATCTGCTGTCAGTTGGCCTTCTTAGAAGCAGCTATTCATAACATTCTAACGATAGCACTGTGATCCTACTGTGACTAAAGTAGACCTTTGTGTGTTTCGCCAGACAATCTATCGGTTGAAAAACCTATTGTCACCATGTGATTTTTGTTCTGAAGGAACTGTGGATACAACCTGTGCTTAGATTATGGAATCGTATCAACTGAATGCATGAATCGAGGGCCGTGTATTTTATTCGACATCAGTTAGGTTTCATAAATTAACCAACCGGGTAAACAGAGTGTCAACAGTAAAACTTGTGTTAAGGAAGTTAGACTGCCGGTCTCTTTCAGTTCATTGTTACGGCGAACGGTTGGACAATCAAGAACAGGCCGATCGACTGAAAAAATTACAGGTTGACATACCGATGACCTGGGTCCGACCCCATGCGTGCTCTCAGGTTGTCAGCTGCCCACCCACCCCGTTCTCTATGCTTGTTTTACTTTTCTGTTGTGTTGTTTGCCGCTGATGTGGACGGTTAGGAAAAGGAGTTCGATCAATCTGGTTATCTTGAGAACATCATCAACATCGGATGACATGCTATTGAAGAATCTGTTTCAAATGCTTCCTGTTTAAGAAAGTTGCTTTTGAGGGTTTTGCAGCTGACGTTTTGGCAATATATTCACATTATCGATGTTTATTGTCTAAAAATCCATATCGCACTTTTTCCCACTCTCAAGGGTGAAGCGGACTTTTTGCGTATAATGAAATCTGTCGATCCTAATGGAACTGGTTTCATAACCTTCGATGCGTTTATGAACTTCATGACAAGTCACACACAAGAAGGAGACAATGCAGAACAAATGGTTGAGTCGTTCCGCATGCTGGCTGGTGACACGGTAGGTAATCAGTGTTTTTGCCTGACTGGCGTTCAGTGGTCGCGTGCAATGCACGCAAGTTGCTCCGCATACCGCAACGGAATATGCTGCAATTCATTCCGTTTATCTATGAGAATCCCTAATCTGCAGAGTTCACTTTACCATCCCTTACGTATTCGTTTCTTGCCTCAATCCAATTATTGTTGGCCCCAGCTAGTGTTTCCAGAGGAAATCACAAAGCCCATATTGGAATTACCGGGCGCCCAAAGCGGGCTGCTTTATTGCATTAACTATGTTATATCTGACTGAGTCGCCAATCTGTTACAGCTGACTGCTGTTCCCGCTCCACCGCCGGAAGAAAACTCATCGATAAGGAACACAACAGCTTTCTTGCGAACACGCGAGAGCGTGCGAGTGCAAAAGTTGCAACGGCCCCGCGCTATGTGAAGGGCACTTTTCGACCTCGATCCAGGCGTTTAGTGAACGCCCATCAACATTGATCGTTGCTTTTATGAAATATCTGAATGCTGATCGTAGTCGGTCGTGTTTCTGTGACGTGTCTGAATACTCATCGTTTTCTACTGAATTGATTGAATGATTGACTGTTCTGGCTGCTTGTCGGCTTTCCCATTGAGATTTTGGTGCAGTTTTGCGGTCTCAGTAGGTTCCGGGCGTTCTGGGGTCACTTTCAGGAACCTTACCTTGCTGATAGACAAACTAGTTTGGAACTCCAAGTAGCTTCTAGACGTGCCACCTTGGATCCAGTTGATCGAGCGACAAAAGTTTCGACGATTCAGTTCGTCCTGACAACTAAGCAGTGGTCCCATTCTTTCATCCATGTGTAACTTGGTTAGCTGCCATATCCATCTGTATGCTACAGAACTTTGTCCAACCTCCTCACGTACCGAACTGAAGGTAGAATTTTTTTTCATTTTATAGACTATCTTTGAAGGTTTTTGAATTTTCTGATGTCAAAGAACAAGGTCGTAACGCACAATCAATAGACTTATGAAACATTTGTAAACATCTGCTGCACGTAATAGTTTACGACTTTTTGGGGTTCGACCTTCGTTTACATACATCGTGTTAGGTAAAATTATGGCTTCTATGCCCGACAAGAAGTCAAAACTTTGCTCACTGACTTGATCTCTGTCAAGTCCTTCATTGCCGACGCCATCCGTGAGTCATTCACTCACGGATGACCACCACAAACAAATTGTCATTAAGTCAAATGATAGATCATCGTAGACTTGAGCAGTTCGGTGTGGCTGGCGGTCGAACACAAAATACATTGTCGTCTGAGGCCAAAATATCCGTTTCTTTTGAGCAACTTGAAATGCTCAAGATATAGGTATTGAACATATACTCCATTTTACGCGTGTTTCATCTGTTTCACAGCCGTACATAACATCAGAACAATTGCGCAGAGAACTTCCGCCAGAGGAGGCCGAATACTGCATCAATAGGATGAAAGCATACAATGGTCCCGGGGCTGTAAATGGACAAGATGCACTGGATTACACGGCATTCGCAACTGCACTATACGGGGAATCAGAGCTGTGAGCACTCAACTTTTGCGGTCAACCTCATATGCTCATGCCCAATCCACGGGGCTTTATACTTTACAGAGACGATCTCTGACTGAGCAGAACGTTTTTCTCAGTTTTCTCATCATCCGCTACTTCCCCACTGATTCCCAACGGATCATGCATGAACCTGTTCTGTAGTGAATTTCACTGTGCGTATGATCGTGAGAGATGCATATTTTGTCCATAGCTGTTCGAATCGTGTTCCCGCTCCACCTTTGGTTTGCAGTGCCTTTATACCTTCGGCATGTCATCCTTCAGACGCATCGGAAAACTTGCTCCTTCAACCTAACTGTTTTGACCAAAATTCACAAGCGCATGGAACTATAGGCTAGTTTTTCCTCTTGAGTAGAACCACTCTTCTGCAGTGCTGCATTTTCTGTATTACCAATCACCGTCAACCTACCAAAGGAACCCGACTCCCGAGAACCATGTGTTTGTGACATAGAGCTCTTGACATTAAACTGTGCTCTTTGATATTCTGTGTTATTTATCCGATGGGTTGCACGATGGAGCACTTAAGATTTACTGGAATTACCACAGACTTAGCTGGATAAGTCAGTATAATACAGCTCACATTAGTCTGTACAATTTTCGGTTGAATGAGCTGAAGAGGATAGAAGCTAGTGTCTGTTATCTCCCCAGGACCACCCACGTACCCCCATCTTCGTTCCAACGCCTCGTTTTTAGTAGTACCGTAAAATAGCCGCCTATACTTGTTGTCATATAATTCGGATGCCGACTGCAGCCACATAAGAAGGTCGACGAAATGGAATCAGGTAATCGTGACGCTAAAAATCCCCATCGGCAAGTTGGACACAAATTATAATCGTGGACATTAATCAGACTGTCAGGAACTGGTACCTAACGTGCTCCAGTGTTGCTGAACACGCTTCAATTGAAGTTCCGAAGAGGTCTACGGGAAGGACATTTCACGAAACTACGTCGCTGCTGTTCCCATCACGAAAAATCACGCTGTTTTATTATTTGGCGAACGGGGACGATTAATGTTCTGAGTACAACTGCACACTCACTGCGTATGAACGTACAGTCAGTGTTTTCATCCTCAGCATACCGACTAAGAAAACGAACTGTTATTTGCGTGATATCCACTGTTCCCATCGCAAAGGAGGCCTGGAAATACACACCACTGACTCTAGTGAGTCAGTTATTGGTACGCTGTTTTTTTCTCTCCGAGTAGCTGCGTTTCAGTCGCCGGAAGGGAAACCGAAAAAAACCAGTCAGCTGTAACACCCTTTCGGTGCCTAGCTGCCATGCCACGCGAAGGAAGTACGAGGGCTGGGATACTGCCAGGTTGTCCAAGCCTAGACGGGGGAAGTCGAGAGGCAGAGGTCGGGCTCGACCTTCCGGTCAGTAAATTCGCGCTCTGACCACTTGAGCCATCTCCCCCCAACCCCCCCCCCTCAGCCCTACCTCAAATTATATGTTTAACTCTCAACACGTAGAAATTACGGACACCACCAGGACCTCTCTGTGAAATCCTTAAGCAGGGTAACCTCAAGTCAAAAACTGATGATCCTGAAAAAGACTTCAAACCTCTGAAGATGAAAGTGAATTCAGTCTGCCAAGTATGAGGTTCATCTAAACAAGTCACTGAGCTGAGGGCTGAGCACAACAGGGCACTAAGACAACGATCAATCACCTATGGAATAAACAGGCCGTTTGTACAAAGTCGTATGAACTATGGAAAAGTATATGAATGTTTGTCAGTTCTGACCTCAACGGCTCGGGAATGTCGGACTACGGAATAGTAAATTGAGGCTTTGTATATACAAACAACAGCGCTGAATGTGAGCCTGAAGCCCAGCTAATCAACTAAAAACCACGCTGTTTTAAACCCGTCTGCTGCAGCTGTTCCTTGTGGAGTATCATCCGATAAAATAATTATCTCGCAATAATGAAATGCTTCCAAATAAATCAACGAAAATTTCCCTGTAGTAGACCAGCTTTTCACTTTACTGCGCGCCGTCATCCGGTCGCCAACACTGTCCGAATATTTTCTGAATATCTGTCGACATCAAAATCCAACCAAAATAGTACACGGCTACTTCACTGGTTGACATGTTTAGTTTTTGTACCACCAAATATTCGATCTCGATGTTTGGGACTTTTGTTTGTATACTACCGTCATGATCGGGACGCCGCTGCCACTGGTTTGATACTCTATTTTGCCTGGTTCAAATCATTTATTGACCATATAGCTTCTCGCACCACTCTGAGAGAAGACAGAGTTGAGGTGGTGAGCGACTGGTACAAACGCGTATTTAGCTATTTTAACGCGACACTGTGTAATATCCAATAGAATGTGTGTAAACGCAACCAGTTCCCAATTGAATCGGAATCCCGAATGCAGGAATGAATAACGAATATTGGGCTAAATTGTAAGCGTCCAGTACACCAAGCCTACCATTTAAAAACGAAAAGTAAGGTCGTCCAACTTCAGTTATTAAAAATGATTGTATTTGTCACAAACTGAAGTAGCCTTTCTGCAGTCTATACCAGGTGTGTTCGCAACAGCCTGGGACCTATTTTGCTAACCCTTGATTGTGTATCGGCGAAATTTTTACGAAACTTAGAAGCCACAACGGAATTCGGAAAGAACTGCCCAGTGTCTTTAAAATTCATCTAATCAATATGATGCATGTGAAGCGTTCTAAATCTACTAGGCTTGTCATGTACTAGTCACTCAGTGTCAGTCGGTGGTCTTAGGTAATGGCCCCGATAATAGGTCACTTCCACAAATGCTAGGCACTACCAATTGAAACTCAAATAATGATCATCTGTTGTGCCCTGAGAAGCCTTTCTGCATTGCAAGTTAAAATAAGCAACACTTGTTCGAATCTCTTGATACGAGGCTTCTGTAGAATTCACAGTCTGACCATCAGAGTAGGCATGTCAATCAGTGGGTCAGTGATGCCTGCACCCGATGCTATGGTGCCAGACCGCAAGAAAACCGCCAATGCGCACATGAAGAATTCCGCTGCAAAGTGCTTTGCAGGGATCTCTGGAACCATTGCTTATTGATACTCAGAATACTGGGCTGCGTTCATCTGCATGAACTCACTGCGAAGTTTTCGTTGAAGCTGACCAAGAATGCGACAGAAATTAATGGAAAGCAGATTGTTACCGTTCAACATACGGTGGAACTGGCCTACGAAACATCTGGTCCCACAAGTCTGTCTGACATTGACGTCATGACCCATTGACCTACCCCTCACCCAACCCCCTTCCTTTGACTTCGATTTCTCTAAAGTGTAGCCCCGATCTTAACTTTTTCCACGTGATTTCTGCTACCATATAAATTTGTGATGTATTAGCCAAGATGAACAATCACAGAAAACAAGCTTTGTTGGCCGAGGTTGGCAATTGGCTTGCAAGCGTTTCGTCATCATACGAGGAGACATCATCAGTTCGCAGTTGGGTGGGTACTTCTTTCTTGCTTGCGTGCGTTTATATAGTATTCAAACGCTATCTGTTATCTTCTGACGCGATTGGCTCCTTGAAGTCAGAAGATAACAGATAGCGTTTGAATACTATATAAACGCACGCAAGCAAGAAAGAAGTACCCACCCAACTGCGAACTGATGATGTCTCCTCGTATGAAGCCAATTGCCAAGCTCGGCGAACAGATCAACAGCCACCTGATCAACAACCAATAGACCTGATTTTGTTTGTTCATCGACTGCTTTCTTTTGTTTCGTCTGGTCCCTTCTAAGTTTCGGATATAGTATAGTAGTTTGCCATCCTAATAAAACTGGGTACCATTAATTCTAGTTAGCTTGGCTTGTTCTGGAAGCACTTCAGGTCACACAGGTGAATGCACAACAAGGCCAGCGAACAAAGCACATAGATTTTTTTCACAAAGGAAACTCTTCGACAGCCCACGACCGGTTTCGCCCTTCTTGGGGCTCATCAGGTAGGCGCAGTCCCCGAGTTTCCGTCAACCTAATATTCTGCTTGAACTTAAATGCTAACAGCTCTACACAACACCCGAAACGATGGTAGAGATGCAGCTAGAATATCCGTCCAAGCACGTGAATCTCCCCGAGTTTAAAATGAAAACCTCCTGTGTGCACCGAACTTCAGTCGTTCAAACCTCACTAAATGTAGCTGAAATTTGCTTGTCTATGAATTCGTGAGAATGTGCGCGTAGTGTCGGGTTCTGCCGCATGTATTGGATGTGATTTCCACAGGGTAACTTATATTTGTTTGGTGTTTTCTTGTTTTTGCAATTTCCTGAATGAGCTTAATTTACATCTTCGGTCGACTCAAACGTACGCCACCCTACACCGTCGGATGATTCCGCTATTATTCAAGATTTTGTCGGGAACAAGAATTCGAAACCCTTTCATTTTTACCTGTCCGCCAATAGGTGAAACTCCGCCAAACTTTAGTTCTTAGTTTAGTTGTAGATAATGATCACGATGCACTTCGCTGCCCTGGTTCACATGTATGACCCGTTTTACGACGGATACTATAATGTGCCTTTCTTAAAATACCATTCTTATGATGTGCTTGCAACATGCACTAAAGCCAGTTCCCCCCCCCCAAAAAAAAAAAAGTGAAAATTTGAAGACTTCTTTCCTGTAACTTGGATGCATAATATCCCAGTGACAATGAGCAAGCTGGATTGTTTGATCGCTCTAATTTTTAAGGCCAGGTGGGGGTTCTAAGGTCCGGATTTTCTTCCTGAGTGGTGGTCTATTATAGCACGTGATTCACTCACAACCCGGCCTACTGATTGACCAACCTTTCCGCAAGCCAGAGAGCGCGCGTGCAAATCACATTTGCTCACAAGCCAAATTATGCTAGATTTAGCCGCATATTATGTGCAAAACAAAGGATCTTGGGTAACCAAAACATGAGGAAAAGTTTATCCATCATAATTTGGTGGATAAATTCACGGAAGTCTAGGTAACACGCTCATCTGTGTATCGAGTGCCAAAGTTAATTTAACATTGCTAAATACGTCCAAACACCCAGAAACGCTCTTCGTCGATCCCTCTTTCACTCAACCTCAGTCGGGTTTTCCATGCTGTGTCCTCGAATATGAGGACAGCAGGATGTCAAAATTTTTTATTTCAGATGTCTGGATGGGAACTAAGTTACGCACTGAAGTATTTTTATGCTCATCAATTATATTATAAATAGATTTTAATTACCCCTATCTTAATTGGCATCATTTTTGTGCTTTGGATAAGTGCCAGAAACTGTCTTGTATGGAGACTTGCATCAGTAGTGTCATTTGTGATGCTATCTTTTTGTGAGATTTGTGTCGAAGAAGCGGAGACCACGTCGTCAAGCCGTTTTTTCCTGTAGCGATAGCGAGGCAGTACTAGCGGCAACATAGCGCCATATTTTCGAAATTTTCCGACGGTGACTCCTCAGCTATCCCATGGGTTGGGGAAAATCACACATCGACTTTGATTTCGTGAGTAATGAGCCATAACTTTGAGCCCTAGAAAGCTTCGACGGTAGTGAGAAGAGCTCCGGAAATGAGCCGTTAAAGCCAGTCTATGTCTGAAAACCAGAGACACTGTATGGCTGTTTCATCCCTATTGGAAATCAGCAGCAGCGTTCCTCTTAGATTACTGGGAAAGTTTCTGGCGGAAATACCTTTGCCTCCCAACCTAATTGAATCAGAGGAAGGATAATTTAACAAGATGAGTGTTACTCGAGGAACCAGTCAGTATTCGACCACGTGTTGTGATTTAGCGATGAGCGGCACTATATCCTGTCCACGTGAGAGCTAAACACTACATGTCAGCCGCTCGTGGGACGGTAACGTGTCTAATTGCTGACCCGAAGGTTGCGGGTCTCTGAGCTTCCTGAAATTTACACTACCGATAATTTTCAATAGGGATGAAACAACTGCATAGTACTCCTCTACCTTTCACAATAGATTAGCCTCACTGACCGGACGAAATCTCAATTGAACACTACAAAAACTTCCTACACTACGATCAACTTACACATTTGGTTTGCAGCACCCAACTTTTGCTGATCAGCAGCGCTTTCTTTTTTATTGATTGCTGGAATGGTTCACCACGCATGTTTACGTCAAGAATTGAGTGTTAACTGTATTTTCAAGAGTGGGTTGGATATCCCTGAGCATTTTGCTACAGGCAGTCACATCTAGCGTATCATTTGAGGCTCAAACAAATCTGAACTCAAAAACCGTTGAGTTCCTAAATACATCATCCACTTCATTCACGGGTAAGAAAGTGCCACATGGAGGTGCAAAGTCGGTACCCTTTGCACTCGGATTTTGGTGGATATGTACTTATGAGTACAGGTAGTTCGGTTTTTTTGTGAAAGTGAAAATCAATACAATGTTCCTAGCTAGGTTCTTCTTCGCCCACAGGGTTACATTGGCTACTCAAAACAGCGTCATTCATCCAGGACTTGAGCTCGGAAATCTCATCTTATGAAACTCAGATAAGAATATATAAAAAACTAACCATTTTTGTATCAATCCGAGTGATAAGGGCTACGATTCCCTACTGGACGAGGTTTGGATTCTGATGAAACGTTAATCAATGACAGTAATTGGCTCGAGAAATATTCTCACTTAGTCAATGGAAGCTTTTTAACTGACTGTCTATTAATCCGAATTCACCAAGGATTTTAGTTTGTCGGTGTTTATCATGAGTTACAATGACTTCCTCTTATGGCCACATGCTTCGGCACAGCAGACATACTTGAATCCCACTTACACATATTCATTACGTTTAAGTGGGGTGTCATAGCATACTTCATCGACCATACGTTCTTCTTTGGGCGGAACCCATACCATGAGAGACGGCTTCTGTCTAGTGCAAAAGTCAGTTTTCTACGTGTTTGTACAGATAAGTAGGGTACATGTGGTCTAAAAGCACATTTTGAATCCGAGTCCTTCCTGTCTGATCGTAGGCAGGTGTAATATTGAAGCTGTCTGAAATTAGGACGTGCTATCAACGAAGGTAAACTCTAAGTTTCATCATAATGGTAAAATCATGAGCATTTTTGACCTAAAATTTGAAGCCCGGCAAGTCACAGGTAGGAAGCAAAGGAGTATGAGGACTGTAGAGACAGGATTCATCACCCCAGAAAGTAGAGTATAACTCAGCGGCCTTCCTAAAATTTGACAGTTCGATCTGTGACCCATCTCCCTGTCAGAGCCGGAAGGTCATCAACGTTGGAGTTGTGATGACAGAGCAGCTTCCCTAATTTACTGATCACTTCTTAGACAAAAGCACACACACAAGGCAAGTTGACGGACTGTCACAAACTGTAGTAGTAGTTTAGATGAGGATGGTGAGATGCCTGAGTTGATTGACCAATGTTGCTAACAGCTTCGACTTCGCCTTTGGGAGTTTGGACTTTTGCAAATTTTTTACACTCTAACAACTTGTTTTCAAACATAATGACTTGGTTTTTCGAACATATCAGAACAGAAAGTCTAATATCACGTTTTGCATGCTAAATATGGAGAAAGATGGCTTCCCGCCCATGTTATCAAATCACGAATGAATGGAGCTTCAATACTGTAAGTGATCCGATAGAACAAATCTTTCGATGCAAATGCACTGTAGGCCCAAACTAGCCTCATTTTCCTTTGCTCAAACCGACGCCCATGGTCTAGCGTGTGTTTGGCAAAGTCACCAGACGACTTAATTAACCTTCGATGGCACTGTAATCGTATATAAAAGATCTGCCATATGCAAAGGATTCTGTAAGCTGTAATCGCATTGACGCTCTACTACAATGTATAAGGTTTTACTTACTTTGTGCGTGATAGTTCAACTTTTAGCTCTGCATGGTGAGTGACTAGATGTGGGCGTTAATTTTTCCATACTACTTGGTCACTCTATTGATCAAGGAATAGCCTACAGTATTTAGACGCCTCACAAAGTAGATAGACTGGGGGCTTCTGTTTTTTGTTGATGTGTTGGGGACCCATGCTTGCGACAAAAATGATGGAATTATGTACAACATGCAGGTTGCATTCTATGCATAAAAAATGTGATATTCGCTCAGAACACCAGTGATCCTCCCGGAATTTAGCACAGGAAACGACCCAAAGTCTCTTTCAAAATTACGTACCTTTTAGTCTCTTTTGTGCTCAAAACAAAAATCTATCAGCAACCCTGGCTTTGTGACAGACATAGAAACGAGCATTGAATTCACTCCGTATTCGTGGAAGTGAATTTGATTGCCCACCAGATAGCCGTACGTTTAATTCGATCACTGTACAACTTCAATCCACCGGCAGATAGATACATATTCTGGTGCACGTTACATTAACCTAAAATTTATAGCCTAGCAAGTCATCTTAACCAGTTTGTCTGGCGGCTCAAACGATGTGTAAGATAATTTCAAGGAAATTGATGCAACGAAGTTTCAAACGAAAATTTTCTTCTTAAAGAGTCTACCGCAGAGGCAGATAAAACGGAGTGCTTGAGTAAGTTTACTAGGTAATTGTGTAGACGCTACAGCTTAATAATGGGTCATTTTTTATGCAAATAAACAAACAGTATCTTACTCTTCCTCGCAGAAATCTCGCTGACTGAAGGGTCCTTCTGTTTTCAGTTCTATCACTCCATAACCGCATGGACTATGTTTCAAACAATATGGCACACCAACTGGGGATTGATCCTCCTTTACCTTTAACCAGACAACAAATTTGGATCTTAGATACGGCTTTGACGATCGTCTACGACCCACAATATTCGTACTGATGGTGCAATGTAATACCCGAAAGTCCTGCAGACTGTGTTCAGACCGTAAAAGCCAACACAGAATGCAAGTTCAATGCTCCATGGCTAGGTACGGTAAAAGCTCAAGCATGATCTTAACAAGGTATGCAATTAGCAGGCACTCTGAGGACTGTTTGGTCTTCACAAGCAAAACACTTATGGGTATCTGACCTTTCATACCTGGGATTGATCCGAGTTGTGATGACATCCCGCTAACGTTGTCAGTCTAAATGTTGACAAACTGAACAACTATTTATCGGAGTCCTGTAATCTTATATATGGTCTGATATATGACAAAGTTATTTTTGTATGCGCTAGTCCGAAGCAGCATCCTCTTATATAAACTACCAGCGGTGAGATGCAGAAGACTGCCCACATTTGATTGAATGATCGAATCTGTTGTAGATTTCGAAATGTTAGGCAGAATTCATTGGTTCATGATCACATTATCTCTTTACTCTGGTGTTTCGTTCCACCCTATTCATTTAAAACTACTGAAAATCTTACAGTATGCCCCCTTTGAGTATGCATAAATATTAAGTGAAATCTAGCAAGCCTGACGTTAAGCGAGAACCCAATTCAGGATTCAGGTTGCCTTGAGCATGAATATTTCGATCGCAGCTCAGAAGCTTCTCTTGATTAAATGACAGGAAGAAATGTAATGGGTTGTGTCCTGTGCTGGGTTTCCACCAGCAGACTTGGCAACTCGAAACAGCTGATCAACTGCTTCCAAGATGGTACTGGAATGTTCCAGATAAACCAACTACGTGATGGACAGAGGTGATCGGGAAGCGGCAATGATAGCACTGGATGTAATTCCCAGAAGATATGAGTAAGCGACCCTGATTGAATGTCCCAGTTTCTCGGCTTCTGAACGAGCTGATCTTCCAACACTTGGTGAAGCGTCAGGTAGGGCTCGACAGCAAGTAGCCAGTTGCTTCTGGAAACCTTCTTTGTTTAATTCCCTACCCGGCTGGAGATGGCCTTCCATGCTGACCATCTTGGCACGCTGGAGTTCTTGCGACAATCCATTAGTGTTTTGTAGTACGCGTTGGTACTCAAGTTGTCCTAGAGCGTGTTACCTCATAGCAGCAACCAACGCCTTGATACTCTCAGACAGCTCTTTGCTGGCAGTAGAAAAAGGAAACGAATGCGTGTTCTGGTTGTCGTAAGCGTGCATTGGTAACCAACTTCCGTGCGGCTCTCAACACAGCTAAACTAAAGAGACCGGCTAAGAAAACGGGCTGCTGAGCCTCGCTAGCTTCATTTGTCACACGCGCCACCTGGCCGATGAATTGCGGACCTTGTGATACCATATGAACTAAGCCTGCCACATTTGAGCTAATGCCATGAGCACTGGCCAAGGTCACTTGCCGATTAGCTTCATCCCATTCTTCGTTCACCTCGGCGAGTTGATGTTGGCGTAATTGGTTAAACAGTTGACGGAAATGACGAAACACATGCAACCAACGATGAGTGAACAAAAATTTGTGGAAAATTGGCCAAGAAGTCGACGATACCCTCAACTCCTGGGGAGGTACAGACAAACAGTATATATCACATTACCGCCCAAGACGCCAGAGAGCAGGAGCTACAACTACTCAAAGAGACTCACTGAAAACGGTCAGCCACCGAAATACTGTGGACTTCAAACAGAACGTGAGATGTCACAAGGCTTGCAGGCATGCCTCACTTCACCATTCAAAGTTTGTATACTGCTTAGGAGCTGTTAAACGAAACTACAGTGCTACCAAATAGGTAGTGTTCCAAGGAGCCATGGGCTTTCCATCGCACTAAAGCACCCCGCAGCAGGGAATCCCCTGCTGCATTGTTGTGAGACGTGGCCTGCGCGGAGAGCGGAACCGAGGTATTTTCAGGATTTCAATAGCAGTGTTTTCAAGATCACAGCTCGCTTAGTCTGACGTCAACGATTCAGCAACGAGATTGCAAAAAGTGAGTGTTCCGCTATGCAGCAGTGACTTTAATCGAACACTGTGTCCACTACTAGAAGCTGCAGTGGTTAGTCCATGTACAGCGCATGGCCAGTAATCGTTCACCGAGGACATTGCTGTTTTGCGCGTCCATGTGATTGTGGTGGAATCAGAGAGTAGACCAAATTTTGCCACAGAACAGGGTGTGAAAGTGACTACTAAATCCTCTGCATTGTCGATTTGACCCACCGTCTGGAATGGAATCCGTTTTATCATCCGTACACCTGCCCGAAAGCGCTGTACAAATGGATATCAATAGAGGTCTTGTTGTCAGTTTCTATCCAGGTTGTGTGAATGAGTGCCCAAAGATGTAGACAAAATGACATTGTTGAACCAGACTAGTAGCAATTTCTTTCCCTATACTTGCTCATTGTCTCGTTTCGACAGTAATGTTAGCGAATGAATTCCAGTGCCATTACGAGAGCTATTTACATGCTTATATAATTTTTTTGGCGTTTGAATCATATGCTGTGAGATGTGTTCCATCTACTTACTTACCACGTGCAACAGTATGCGTTAGGCTTGACACGACAAGAGTAATGATCGTTTATCTGTTTCGGTTTTGCAGAAGAATGTAACAGAATACGAGGATTGTGTATACGTACGTGTTTGTTTGATACAACCTTCCTTTACAATAGTTCTGTTCCCACCTAGGTTTCTGTGACGATGTTTTAACTGATCCAACGCCCTCGAAGCAAAGCAATCATGTTCACCTCTTCACACATGATAAGGCAGTTTCATCCAGCGAAAGTTGGTGGAGTCGTGGTGGCATTCTTGACTTCCGGATCTGAAGCCCGGACACCCGGACTCCTCACGAGCTCCGATAAGATCGAAACTTGAGTCTAGCGCTTCCCTCCTTTGCGGGGACTAATCAGACATCATTGCAACTCTTCGAACAAGCGTGATGTGGATGGGAATTAAAACGTGGACCTCCCACACTGCTAAACTGACATGACACACGAACGTGAAACAAATCAACAGGAACAGCGTACAACTAGGCGAAATGAACACAGACGACTGCTTGCATGAGAGCGCTCGATGATGATGAATTATCATACACTTAATGAGTGATTGACCAGTGCATAGGCTAATTCAAGGCGTGCACCATGTGATATGTGTTTGGCGTAACGCACCAGATTTAGTGGGCACAAGTACGGCAGTAAAGCATCAGTGACAACACTGATGTTTCTCTCTCCGGTGATGATGATGAATGGATACAAGTCAGTGAAATGTTGCAGGTCCATGCTTATGCGTGAGTGTTTACGATTAATTACGCCTTCCAATTTCGACCAATTTACAAGGCGTCCCTGAGTGACAGTGCCCTGTTGAACAGTCGAACAATATCCTTAAAAAAAAATAGGGTCCTCAGAAGCAACACCCCGATTTCCATCGTCTCTGAAAACACATGGGGACCTTTCACTGCGCCACATAAACTTTAGTATATGAAGTAATTTTGGTGTTATTAGAGATCATTTTTTCTGATATTTTTACATCACAATGGATTGCGTGTTAAACCTACGGCTTTTCAACGCGAGCAACATCGATCGGTTTCTCAACAGTTCTAAACTGCATTCTCAACACTGGGGGATAAAGCAGTGTTGAATAGAAGATTTTCCACCCTGTATTTACTATTCCTAGTGTTCAGGTGTCTCCAGATCTTACATTTTCTGGGAAGTTATACACTAGAAGTGATTTGTATGCTTGTGAATGATGCATATGTTTGCAATTCCCACCATTTTGGGAATGCTTCAGAGAGATGGATAATCCAGCACCATACTGGATTGAATGTGAGGTACCGTTGACAGCTTGGCTGTTTAAAATGACCAGAATTGTTGATACGAAATAAAAAGTACTCTAAGTCTACAATTAGAGAAGACGTTTAGCATCAGCGTTATGAGGTACACCAACTTCGTATTTAGACTATTTTAACTTCGATAATACTTGTTTCTTCACCCAAACACATGTTGCGTTCTGGTTGTTTTGCTGCATCCGTATTCTGTATACGTGTTCGTGATGGAAAGCGTTGTGGGCAGCAACGCAGAATAGATAGGATTCAAGTTTTATTTCAAGCGATACTCTAACGGTAGAAAAGGAAGGTTCGTTGTTCACAGAAAATCAAACGAATTTCGAACACCAGTTGACTGTAGTGTATTTGATCTCTCCGGTGTATGTAGTACGTCACACATTAGTCCATTCTTCTGGTCCCACAGTTTTATTCTGTATTCATTTTGACGAGGTCTTATCGCACTAAAGCACCAGTGTTCTTAAAGGGCATTTTTGTCACTGACAATGATGATAATGACTTTACAGTATAATGCTGCTTGTTCAGGTTCAAAATTTCTATTTTAATGGGTAAACGCTGACTGTCCACTATTTATCTCCAGGACGTGTTGACTGGTTCTGTATCGTTCTTGCCAGACTACAATAAAGTGAAATAAATCCGTTTCATTCGGTTCTCAACGACCCTTTAGTTCTGTCCAATAACTTAACTCATCGATACAGTTGAACAAACACTATTTTACTCGAACTGTTAGTGGATATGCTGGCTTGCGGGTCAAGCACTACACCATTGATGTGTTCGCAATCTTATGCCGTTCTTGAGACAAACACATTTTGGCGTTCGGCCGTGTTTGCTTGACCATCAAGGCGATAGGATGTGACCAAATAGATCAGCAGGTATTTAGTTTACAATCTGTGGGACTGCCAAACAAGATAATTAGAGCCTTTTGCTGGTGTACGACGAACTAGGCGATACGCTTAACTAGGCATCTGGGTTTTTCTTCGGTATGTACATTAAATCGAGTGGGGATAGCATGCAGAAGTGCATTACTTTAGAAGCTGCGTGCAAGCCCGATGAGTGATTACGAAGAAAACAAACACTAACAAACCTGACTCACCCATCACTTGAGCTAGGTGCCAGTGTCTTGTTGCGCATTAGAATTTTCGGTTGACCAGAAATCGAGCTAACCATGCATTTCATCCTTGTTCGAAATCCTCCGCATATTTTAATTTTACCGAAGTTCCTCAGTATAACTGTGCCGGCTATATCATATTCCGTTTTAAGTTCAACAATTCTGAAGCTCACAAGATTCTGCAGATTTGACTGTGTTTTAACGGGCTTGCCACAGGAATGATTGCTGTCACTCGGTAGGAGAGTCCCTTAGTAAGAGAAGGTAACTTCCTGAATGACCCAGTGACCATTTTCTTCTCCCAGTGGGTACTTCTGACGTTCGCAGATCTCTCATGGTGGAATAAGCAGAAAGAGAAATATCCCGGATAGTCTGGGATGGCTGTCTCACGTTCAATCCACTGCCATCAAAGCTCGAGCAGTTGTTCTTTGTCTTCCCTGGCTTTGAATGCCACATGCATCTTGTGTCCCTATCTTATAGGTTGTTTCCTACGTCTGGCGTGGAAAGTGAATTTGTTATTTTAATACTGGATTGCTTGAAAAGGACCACACTACCTAATACACCTCGTTGGAGTGTAGTCCTAATCTAGTAGAATATCACGAGGTTGTTGCTAAAAATCCCCGGTGACTGTTATTTTCCGAGACCTACTTTCCGTAGTCAACACTTCCAGTTTCCAACTCCTTGTATTTCAAAAACGTGCTTTCCAACCTGAACTGAAGGATGTCTCGGCCACTCTTCCTTCATCATGAGCGGATGATCCAGTCAAGGTGAAATTCAGGCGAAACGTTAAATTTTAGCGTTCCCTACTTATTTTTAAATGTTCACTAGTTTTACCCAAACTGCGCTGAGACGTGGTTTGTGCATCCAAAAATGACTTTCGAGTGCATGCATATATTTCTCACTTTAACTCCCAAACAATCACAGAGCAAGAGCCACACGAAGCTGATCTATATATCCCTATATATCCCGTAAGCTTAGCAAGAAATCATACTGCTGGTTAGCCTACTGTTCAAAGTGACTAAACTTCCAGAGTGCCGGGTTCTCGGAGCTACCGTTTCTGTAACTAGCGTGCTATTGTTATCATCACGTTTACGCCTCTCTTCTTAACGCTTTTCGTGTGTCTGCGGCCCTGTCCAATACTCTTAACCGTGTTCTTATGCTTACAACAGTTCCGTGCAGCCTGTGGTTTCCAACATGTTACTGTAAGTAAAAGTTACCTCTCCACACAAGAAATTTATTTTGCATCATGCGTAAACCATGAAGGGAATTGCTGAGTTGGAGAGAACTCAACATTTTGCTGTGGTTTCCACCGCATAACACTCAGGTTAATGACAGGGTGAATTCCAAATACCCGAATGTGACGCGGTCAGTATAATCTTTCACAAGGGGTACTGAAAATTGTCACCGCAAACAGAAATCTACGCAGTGTGAAGTACTAACTCGGGGAATATAAATTTCCAAGAATACAATGCCTCAAATATGAAATATCTTGTGTCAAACTGACGCTGACATCTTTATGTTTCATGAGCAAACTTGTGTATAACGTTCCGAGGCATACGGCTCATAAATAATTCTAGAGAATTCCCTCGCAAACCGAATCATGGTAAGACTACACGACGTGTTGAGGTTACCATGCTGGAATAATTTAGCACTCGCGCTAAACATGGTCCAGCAGAGATTGTCGTCTGTAGTACGCTGGCAACACAACTTTCCAATGGGAGTTCCAACCACACCGGATTCATTAAATGTTCGGACGATGTTAAGTACAGAATTGCCGTTCAGTAATGGTCAAGGCAACAGGCGAAATCAAAGTTGTGCACGAGGCCGTCTACGCTTCCCAGAGTGAAAAATTAAAAGGATGTTAATTCGAAGTAATACGACCATTTTGACAAAAATCTCGTAGACAGGTCAGGACGCGGACATCGGCACTACGGCATCTCTTGTTCCGCCAGGTAAAGTTAAACAAATTGGTGTTGGTGTCCTATCCAGTAGCTTCACTTGACACCTTATACACATGAGAACTGTTTCATTCCAATTCAAACCGTTGTATTCATCCCAACCAAGCTCTTTTTCTGCGAGCTAGTACAAAAATGCAATGTCGCATTTGGCCTGCATCCACTGCGCATGTTACTGATTTGTTACATGTCAAACGTTTCCCGTAAAGTGGTCTTTTCTTCGGTATGCAGCTACCTGTAGTTGAACAACTTCAGGATAACTGCCTATTATTTATCGGATACTGCGTGAAGGCAGTAACAATTTAAGGGCGATTATCCCGCCAAAGTCGCAAGATGAATGAATTTCGGAATATGAGCTGATCGAGTTTGTTCCGCAAACGATTCTCATTCAGTCGGCTGCTCAACATTTCTGTCAACCAATGGCAATCGAAGTCTGGTAAAAATGATGTTCTCAGACAGGGCACAAGCTTTGAAATGCTGGACACACCAAGCACACAGGTTGCTTACATTCCTACCTGAAGCAAGTTTAAAGTGAACCAACTCACCCTACAGATTACCGCTACTGCAATCTTTGGCCGCGGTAGTTTCTTTCCGGACAATATTACCTCGTTTGGTGTTCCGTTTGCACGCAACTGTTTTAAATCTCCAAACAATTGTTTCACCATAATCATTCAATAAGTATATTGGGAAAACAAATCTGAAAACACTTTGGGAAGTTCCACTGACAGGATAGTATTTCTCCCCTTGTTCTATGGACAGATATGTGTGGAGTCCAAGCAGATGCTTGCAGAGGTGCGTTATATGTTCTCTCGAACAAACGAATACCACGAACTTTAGCAACTGACAACATAATGTGATGGTTTTATGGACTGTTAACCCCATGTAGACATGAAAACTTCCAACCATTTTCACCACCCGAAAAACATTTATTGCACAGTTTCATTCTGCACCAGACAACTAAACCGCCCAATTCCTCTGGTGGAAACAAAAAATATGGTGAATAGTCCACCTGGTGCTTGCACACGTTCCTCGTTCGTCACAACAGTATAGTATTTGGATGAAAACATTCACGGTCAGTAGCCAACGCCTTACGCGCGTGCATGAACGATTGACTTTATTGAAAATTTTCGATGTTCGTTGTTGTCGTTTTATTTTGAAAAAGCCGCTTGCTGATGAGGTCAAAGTAAGCCATTTTATTTATTCCTATCAGTCGATGATCAGTCAGGATCGGTTTTGAAGCTGTTTTGCGTTTTTGAAGTTCTGATGGTGAGTCAGAAGTTTGCTCAGTCCATGAGTCGAGGCCCAGAACCTTTGCCAGCAAGTATAATGTAATTCGTTCTACAGACTATAACATAAAACTATGGAAGGACACCCGTACACAAAAGGTAAGGTAGACAACCACCATAGACTGCGGGTTCGGAGGCATACAGACTATGGGCTTGCGACAAGGCAAACAGTCTGAAACGTGTCTTTTGAAAGCTGTCTCAAAGTTCAGGTTGATGTGTGCATTTATTACCTGTATCCCTTCGGACCTTGTAGCTGCTGCCTCATTTGTTTAGTTCAACTTAGGCGAATTTGTTTTGATAGAGATATGCACAATATATCGCGGTAATTGACAGGAACATCACTGAACTTGCGTCAGAGAAACAATGGGTCTTTCAAGTTTGTTGTCTTTGCTGCGTCGCGTCATGAAGCGTTTGTACAATGCAACATGCAGCTAGAATATTACCAACATCAATCTCGTCCAGAGGGGCATTTTAAAGATACATCAGTGGTTCCATCAGTTATTCACAGTTCAAATCAATAGTGTCACAAATACAGATCTACATGCGTATTGCACCATGGCGCGCATCGCATTTGTGACATAGATGTTTGTACTGCAAACGGTGTTCAAGAGGCCTGAGGAAGGGCAGGGAAGGCAAACCGGTTTACCTGTTGAAAGCCAAACGATCTAGGATGCCCGATCGTAGACTTTGTAGAGATTGAGAGCGAAGTCTCATTTTTGTAAAAATTTGTTTAAAGTGAACCCTTTATAGAAAAACGAATTCCAATTGCGAAAATGCATTCACGCTGACAACATTGCATCCATATTTTGTTTTCCCTTCAGTTCGCGTTTGTCACGTTATACAGTGGACCCATGGATTAAATACATCATCTCTTGGTACTATCTTTCTGTTCTTGCATTTTGTGACGTAGGCGCTAGTCACCAAATTGCTTGTGGATCGATGCCTTAGACAAACACATTAAATGATTTGCTAATGAGGTTATTGACCGAGATCCAGGAATGCAAGATAAACGGCACGCAGTAGTATTCCGTATCACATTTCGCTACAAAGTTATCATCATCATCCGCTGATCATCCAGTCGTCGGATGGACTCCACAGCTTGAAATGAGGTAAGCTCACGAGTGCCTTGACTCCCGTGCATATTTTGACAACCTGGGAAATCCCAAAGACATAAATCTGCAAGGACAGAAGTCGTCAGTGTGAAGACGCATGTCTCGCTTTGGACGCAAAACTTTTGTTCGCTCTCAATGACACTTATGCTGTACAAGCAGATCATCGCAGATTAACGCTATCAACTAGGCAGTAATGTGGCCTTCCGTTGTACCATACTTAAGACCGTTTAAGAGGCATGAGTATCGGGAGTCACGGCAGTGAAGTGGAAAAGATGGGCACAAATTTTGCTTGAGGGAGCAAACACGAGTAGTGCAACTCATGCGAAACCATGCCTTTATTCGTAGTGAATGTGACACTTCAAAAAATAGATTACTATTGTTCGTATGACATTCTACAGCGGCAACCGATCACTCAGCTATGTTGTTGATATAACCAAGCTTTACCTAAATTTTGTATAAATTTCACTTATAGTAATGCTACTGTACACTTAAAAGGAACAATAAGTCTGTATCTGTGTTTAGACCTAGAGCAAATTTGTAGCTAGGTTTATTAGGAACGATATTGGCTTTTGGATTATGCAAACATTCACACGGTTCAGAACTCACATGTCGTCGCTGTTCCCAATAACACCCATAAACTAATACACTCCTTGTCCAAAAAGAACGCCCTACATCTAAAGACGGATAGCCTTCCGAAGATGCATTTTTTGGGGTCCATTGTGGCTCCGGCACCTATGAGTGCCAACATCTAGGTAATAGTCTGTGCTGAATACTCAAACCTTATTAGTGTCTCTCGCTTCTACTATTTGAGATCAACGTCTGTTTACAAGGACACTAATAGCACACTTCACCGTGGTAATCAGCGTTCCAATATTAGCAATGTTGTGGAATGTAGGTAGCTCGGGTGCGCTGTTTGGCTGTTGGTCTGTTAGCGGAGCTTGGCAGTTGGAGTGCAAACGTTTCATCACCGATCGAGGTGACATCGTCAGTGCATGGTTGAGTGGGTCTCAACTCAACCCTGCACTGACGATGTCACCTCGATTGGTAATGAAACGTTTGCAATCCAAGTGCCAAGCTCGGCGAACAGACTAACAACCAAAGAGCGTTCCAATAGTCCTAAACATAAGATGTGCTAGAGCAAGGGAAAATCTCTTTTCGAGCCATAACACTAGTACTATGTAAACTCATAAAAAGTAGCATCGGTACATAGTTAACAGCAATCGTTCAGTGTGTCTGACGACCACGTACACATGATTAAGGACAGTTTGTGGTTGCTTGCATTACTGAGAGGCGAGGCTACGCCAGGTGAGCACACTTTTCAGCCAGCAATATTGGTATCGTTATGATTGCTTATGAAACGAAATGTGTCAACGTGGCTAAACCTGTTTAAGCGCTTCCCTGCTGGATCAAGGATATTCAGCCGGAAGTTGAGTGGTTTGTGAGGAGATTAGCGACGTCAGAGCGAACAGTATCATGATGGATTTTTCGTTATAATGAAGTCCCGATTAGTACTGTTTAAAATACAGGCAGATGAAATTTTTTGTCACAACCATTTCCCCGGCTCGAATGACTTCGTTTTCCCTGACATTTCCTCACATTTGTCCTCCAAACCTACTCGGGATAGAGAGTCAAGAAAGACTGCATAAGAAAGCCATATCACAAAATTATATCACTATACAAGGAAGAGCGGGACTGAACTGTACAGGATCGAAATGTGATTGAGTTTCAGAGACCGAACTCAGCCAGCATATTCCGTTTGGCAATATCTGTAGGTTTTGCTCGTTTGGTGTTTCGACTGCTGGGTTTCGGATCAAACGCCAGCTCAAAAGCTCGCCTGCGTTAGGAAAGGGAAAAACAGAGTGAACTGAAAGTAGGAGGCTACGTGCGGCCCAATAAACGGCAGTTGTGAAAAACCCAATAGACCCGCTAACTGTTTCAGCATGACCGGGTGCTAGCTTCCCGCAGAATATCACCCAACGGTGCCCGCGTGGCTCATTGGACAGCGCCGCAAATGACCTTAGACAACCCTAGTCAGAGATCCTGAGCGGACACCTTTTAATTGGTTCACGAATCCTGTACTGATATGTTCGCAACAAAAGACGTATTTTATGCTTGAGTCGACAAAATAAAAATACTGATGGCGAACCTTATCTGTTTTTTTTGGCGAAGTTTCCTTCTAGGCTATGTGTGAGTGATTCAGTGGTTGCATTTGAATGGATCACAGCTCCTAATTCGAAGATGAGAACCAGGCTAAGGCAAAGAGTCCGTGTGAAGCCTAACTGAAAGATTTCCACACCTAGATCCAAAATGTGTCCGTTTTAATCAGAATTAGATTATATGAGCTCGAGATGCCAAAAAATGAAATGCATTACATTTAGACAAAAATTGGTCATATGTTCAACCATAGTTCCTTTGATACCCGAGCTGCTCAGTGGACTACATGCACAGCAGCAGTTCATGTATAGCTAAACTTCTTGATTAGTGTACTCACCAAAAGCGTGGCAGTCAGCTATGGGGTTCGCCCCACAGTGCACACTTAACTGCTGTCAGTATTATTTCTGGGTTGAACCAAAGCAGCACAAACTCATCGCTTGGAGTTCGCGAAGACGACCACAAAACAACTAACCACACTTCTGCACGCCGTGTTCTAAATCTCCACTGATTTACAGTCTGTTCATCAAGACTTTGTCCCATCAGTTCCGACAATCAGTCGGACTAGTTCGGCTTAGCCAGACCGAAATTTCTGAGCGTTTTATATGTCGACCTTCTATATCATCTAAGTGGGAAGCTTCGGGAAAAATGAAAACTAACTTTTTATCTGTTGGGGCCGACTGCTTGCGGTCCTTGATTTCGTTAACTTTGACATTCTTTTCCTTTTTGACCTTCCCAGACTTGCTGGAGAATCGTCCACTGACACGGGCGGCAATGTCTTTGGGTGTAGCTTGGAGACAAAAAGCCCGAGCAACGTGACCCAAATGAAGCCGCTTGAAAGTGAAAAATGTGCGCAGTTCCCCTGAAAAACTTGCGTAGGAGCGTAGGAATGAAGTGTAGGCCACCTCAGCGAGTGGATGCAGAACCGGGTCTTCGCAGACAGCGTCCAAGAAAAGATTGAAGAAACGACTCACACCTTCCTCAACAGTTGTACACGGATTCCGCTGGAGTAATAGCAAAACAGAGAAAAATGGTTTGTTGTAGACTATGATAATCCAATAAACTTTGTGTAGATGAGGTAATGAAGATGAACGAGGGCATAAAAGTACAGTAAATACGATG